CCCTTTCTTTTCTCTGGTTCTCACCCTCTCACACACACTTTTATATACAAACAGTTACATGCTATATACATTGTTCTGAAGCTTACTTTTTCCTTTATCAGCATAGAAAGCATAAATCTCATGTTTTCACATCCTTAGCTCAAAACTAGTTTTCGCCTTGCTATGACTCTTATTATGCTGAATACTCAGTTCTTTAATATGGTATCCTTTGGGCCTCATGGAGTCTCCAGAAAGATTATATAACACGTAATGTTATATAAATTAGAATCCAAAGATCTTTAGCATGCCCGCTGTATTCAGTTGGCTATAGATGTTATTCATCCTGTTTTGTGAGCTGCCTCCGACTACCCCATGTCTTGTTTCCATTCTTTTTTTTTTGTTGTTATTGGTTGTTCAAAACATTACATAACTCATGACATATCATCTTTCATACATTTGATGCAAGTGGGTTATGAACTCCCATTTTTACCCCAAATACAAGTTGCAGAATCACATCGGTTACAATTCCACAGACACGGGAGATTGGGCTGGCTTCATCTCCAGCCGCAGCTGCAGCCCCATCTCCTCTTCCCTCTCTGGCCACATTGTTCTTCTTTCAGTTCCTTCAGGGCCCTGGGCTCCCTCCCCCTCAGCATGGCTCTGTGGCAAAGCTGCTAGTGTTCTTTCTCTTGTATTGCTTGCTTCCCCTCCTCCCATCTCCCTGACACCTGGGCACCTGTCAGGACTCAGATTCTCTCATACCCTAAGTTTAGCCTTCTCTCATATATGATTTCCTGACACTCCTTTCTTTCTTAGAGCACTTTTCACGCTTGTGGTAACTGTATTTTGTCAACTCTAAAATTCACGTGTTTCATGTTTTCATCTTTCTGAAACTGGCAGGTATCTTGCCAATGAATGGTGACTTACAGTTCTAATGGTGTAATTAATGGAATTTTAGATTTGATGAAATTGAGTTTATCTGTTTAATATCTGTCTCTCCCACTAGTGTTTCAGTGCCAGGAGGGCAGGGACTGAGAACCCTCCTGCCCCCATCCTCCACACCTACGACCATGTGAGGCGTGTAATAGATGCTCAATGCTCTCCCAATGTCTTTACTGTCCATATTTGATGAGTTCATGCTTTTCCTTGGCTGTATCCTGCAAGGATTTGTATTCTCTTTTTTCATCTTTGTCTTTATAGGGTGAAGAGATTTACTCGCTCAGTATCACTTCATGCACAGGCCTCTTCATCTTTTCATGTTTGTTACCACCTCTGGCCTTTGTCCGTATCGTCTTTCTTGAGTTTGGGAGTTTTCTGGTTGATTCCTGTTCCCTTTCTGATAATTTTCTGAATCTGGTTAATTCTTTGGACTTGTCACAACCAGAGAGGTGATATTTAGGAAGGATGATCTGTATCTTCTGAAAAGTTTTGCTTTCTTCTTTTTTTTTTAAAGCAAAACAAAAATCTTTTTAGACTTACAGCATCTTGTGGAAGTGTGCAGAAAATCTATAGGACAGCCATATTTTATCGGCTGTTTTTCTAAAAATTATTCATTCTTATCATTACTTCTAAAAAAATTATATATTTGGTAGGACTGCATTTATTCATAAGTAAAGTGCCATGCTCAAAGAGGAACACAGGGTGTAAGTATTGCTGCCTATCGCTGGAAGGCAATTTATACTTGTTATGGGGTATTCTGGAAAAGAAAATGATAAAATGGAGAATAATTTTACTCCAACCATCTCCATTTCTTATTGTCTATATGTTATTTACTGTATATCATTAACTCAGATCCCATAAACCCCAATTATTACACAAACTTTTAAATACATAAATCTTTCTTTATTACCATTTGACACTGTTCATTAAATTTATAAAAATCATTGGCCCACAACCTCTTTTGTTTCTGTATAAATATTATGTGATTTTATCAATTTAAAAAAATTAACAGATTAGGTTACTTTCTAGAAGCATAAGTGGGTAGCCAGAATCTATCATCTATACTTTTTACTCTTTGAATTACTTTCCCCAAAGGCATTATATTCCTCTTTCCAACAGTAAAGCTTCTAGCCAGTTTTGCCTGCTCTCTGGCATGTTGATGACATCTTTATTCTGCTGTCTTCCCCTGTGCATTCCTTCCTGCTAGTCAGAAATTTCCTGGCCTGCAAAAACTTAGTGTCGCCTGAAGACTTGTGGGTTTCCCTGTGCTTTGCCCCTTCCAGATCACTTATGAAAGGGCTAAACAATATGGGTTCCACCCTGATCTCTGACAATGCTGCTGTTTTTATTTATTTTTTTATTAAAAACAGGCCCAAACATGGCAAAACATTCCTCCTTATCTTTCAGCGCCTATTTTAAAAGTAACAATCTGTGTGCAATAAAAGATTCTTAAAAGTCCAAGAAATGTCCACAATTCCATATTGATAATAAATTTTTGCCTCAGAGGGTCAAATGATAAATATTTATATTTAAAATATAGGCATATACACAAAAATACATATATAGGAATATTTAGCTGTACATATAACTTTTATGTTCATATTACATATGACTTGATGTGTTTGATACACACACACACATACACACACACACACTTTACTACCTGTAAAACATTCTTTGTATTCTTGAACACAGCTAATAAGCAGATGATACAGATGTGTTGTCAGAAACAAAATTACCTGGAAGTCAGGAAGCTAAAAACTTCCAGCCTTCATGGATCCCCGAGTGTGTGATTCTGAGCAAATTAACAGACATTCTTGAGATTCAGTTTTTGTCATTTGTAATGAGAAAGGACAGGATTAGATCAGTGATTCTCTGATTTCATTTGAGAATCACCTGGGGAACTTTTAAAAATGTAGATGCTTAGGCTCTATTGAGAGACTGATTTAAGTTTTTAAAATACTCCCGTGTGAGTCTAATGAGCAGTATCCAGGGTCAAGAACTGCAGGTTCTACCTACTCCAGATGTTTCCAAGTGTGCAAGTCTCTTCTTTATTTTCCTTCCTAAGACAAGATGGGCTGAGCTGAGAACCTTGTAGACAAGGGCTGTTCCTTCTTTTGGATTCATTGAGCACACTTGATTCTGCAGAATGCTCTGAGATAAAGAATCCTGAGGCTGCACACCCACCCCTCTCTGTCCCCACATTCTGCATCTGCCTGCCCCATCAAGCACAGAGCCTCCCAGTGGTCACAGTCCTCCACTGTTCTCTTTTTGTGGTTGAAGATGTTGAGTCTTCATGATTTAGGAAGCTCAGCCATTGTCTGGGTTGGGCAGAATGAGAACTCTCTGTTGATGTTTTCTTCCATGAGAACCTGAGCCAGTGGCCAATGGACGAAGTTTTACATGGTTTTATGACTTGACATCGCCAACCTTTTTGCCAATCATCCTTAAAAAAATTTTTGGTCTCTAATTCTATTCTTTTGACCACCCTATAACCTTTAATCTCTTAACCCTGAAGTGACAAAAAGTACATTATTTGAGATGGTAGTTACTTTTAAAAAATAATAATCTATTGTGTAGGTTCTAATCACCTTGGGACCTATGGATTGATCAGTGAATACTTGATAAATATTACAATTTTTAGAAAAGAACAATACATTTAAAGTATATTAGATCCCCTCATCAAAAATATTTCTTATTTCTAGTTCTTCCCCCATTTCCACTGCCACTACCCTACCCATTCCCTTCATTCTAGCCTCTTCTTCTATTATAAGGAGAATGGCTACTATAGCTGTCAGGCTCTGTGATGTGTGCTCTCATTATCACACTTAATCCTCATAAGGAGAGGCTGAAAGATGAGGAACCAGGGTTCCTGGAGCTCCATAGCTATTGAGTGTCAACCATAGGTCAAGCTCTTTAAATGCCATTTATGCACTGTCTCGTTTGGTCTTTAAAGCGGCCATTTTACATTCTACCAAGGACTAAATTGTGGATTTTGATGTTCCATACTTACAGTCACTGGCTGGTAAATAGCAGAGTTAAAATCTAGGCCATCTTAACCACTAAGCTATGCTGCTATTATTTTTAGGATTATTACTACCACAGTTCTCATTTTAAAAAAGGGCAAATTGGGGCACAGGGTCCTTGAATAACTTGCCTGAGATCACCAGGCTAATAGAAGGCAGAGTCATCATTTGACCCTCGGTTTTCTGATTCCAAAGCCCAAGCACCTCTGTTGCCTCCCATTCCCTGTATTCACCTGTCAATCATTGCCTCTCTCAGGCCCTCCTTGAACAGAGTTGGGTTTTTTTTTTCTTGTTATTCATCTGCCCAGAAGCAGCCTATGTCTATTTCTTCTGCCTAAAGTTTATATTTCTTTAATTATTTATTTGGACTTCCAAGGCCTTTTGGGTTCTGTTCACCCCTCCCTGTTTCTTGCCCCCCCCCAACACTTATTCCCACAGTGTCCAGAAATCTGTGTCTGTTAGGTCAGCCTGTCTCTATCACTAGTCCATCAGCATGCTAGACCTCTCCTGTCTTCAAGTATCTTTCATCTTCTTTGCTTTATCTCTTCAACCAGCTTTTCCTGAATACCTGTTCTGGGCTGACATACTTCACCTACTCCAGCCAAATCCACCCTCTCAGTACAGCTCAAGGCACTCCCTCCAGGCAGCCCCCTGCTCAGTTCCTCTTCTTTGCTTTGCCTCCCAGATAACTGCCAGGAAACAGGGTGCAGGTGGAGCCTCCTAATGGAGTCTTTGATGTCTCAAGTCATAAGTGAACTCTGAAAGCAAAGACTGTGTTAAGAACTATTCTGAACTTATGGTAGTTGCTCAACAAACAGGCAATAGATGAGCTATTAATTTGTGATTATAATGTTTCCTCCCCGCTCAAATGTCTGTTACTATGTTGATTTTTTTTTGGGGGGGGAACCCACAAAATTCTAAATTAAATTTTAAAATGCCAATTTTAACATTTAAATTCTAAAATGTCCATTTATACAACTTTTTCAAGTATGTGTTATTGTGTTTATTTTAAGGGCTAGTAAAACTGATCTTCTAAAACTATTGCTGTTCTCCCAGTAAACGTCCCTTCAACTGTAATGGAAGCCATGTGCCGACAAGACACCCTGCAGCCCTTCAACAAGAGCAGCAAACTCTCCCCCGCCACCCAGCAGCGCTCCGTGGTATTCCCACAGACTCCGTGCAGCAGGAACTTCTCCCTCTTGGATAAGTCTGGGCCCATTGAATCAGGATTTAACCAAATCAACGTGAAAAACCAGCGGGTCCTCGCCAGCCCGACTTCCACGAGCCAGCTCCACTCGGAGTTCAGTGACTGGCATCTCTGGAAATGCGGGCAGTGCTTTAAGACTTTCACGCAGCGGATCCTCCTCCAGATGCACGTGTGCACGCAGAACCCGGACAGGTAACCCTGACTCCCACTGCTCATGCTGTGTTTGCTTAGTGAGACCCGCTGCTTGCCTTGCTGCCAGATACCAGTCACCGCCTCCCGCCACACCTTGGGGGGAAACCCTGTGCTAAAAGGTGCCTGCATTCAGGAAGGTTGGAGAGTAATGTTAGGCCACTGCTTGCCTCTCTGGTTTATATGGGTTGAACAGACAGGTTGGGGGCTGCAGAGAGAAATCTGCACTTGCTATCCAAACAGTTCTGTCCAAGTTTAAAAGGGAGCAAAATACAAGGAACATTTATGAATATCATAGGTGGAAAAATGAGGTCAGGATAATTAGAATCCTCTCTGTCTTCCAAAGATAATATAGCTGGCTGCTCTGCGGCTGTCACAGTCGTTTCAGAGTTCACCTCCAGTGTGCTGTGGGTATGAACTTAATTAAGTACTAAGAGGTAATGAATTGGAATTTTTTGCTTAGTACTATTTTTCTTCGGAGCATGCAAACCCATAAATCCTGCAAAGCTGTCAAAAGGAAATACCTGCTCTGCTAGTGATGTGGAGGAAAACAGATGCCACTTATTCAATAAACTAATATCCACACAGAAGAAAAATGTTGACTAGATACCTCAGAGTCAAAGTTGGTTTGAAAGTTTGTCAATAAAGAATTTTATGGCCATGAACTGAGGATGAAATTTAGCTGAACAAGTGAATTAAAATTTCAGGTACTCTGACGAGTGGCACAGTAGATATAATGGAACTATTATTTATGAATCAAAACTGGTTTATTCGACAGTCTTGATAGCTGGGAGTGCAAAAGACAAAAATCAAATTAATTCAATAAGAAAGGATTGCTCGTGTTTTATCTCTCCTTCATGTCATATGAAAACTTGATTAAAACCAAAATATCTAAGTATGGTATTGAAAATGCACTTTGCATATAAAAGCAGAAAATAATTTTTGGAATGAGGAGTCTTGGAGCAGAATTTCTGAATTATTTTCTTAACTTTGACACTGATTAACCTTAATTAAGCAATCCACTTAACTCTCTTTGCCTAATAATATATGCTTAGTTCTTCACTCCCAGCTCTGCAGGATGCAACAGTGTTCCTGGAAAAATACAAGCATGGGCAAAGATGAAGGTGTGGTGGAGGGGATAGATATATTCTAAAATAATAGTTTCAGGATACATATGCACACTTACAGGTGTATACATTTTTTGTGCCATTCTAGAAACCACTTTCTTGACATTAAGCCTTGCTGTAACTAATTAATGCTGAAACATGTAATTAGGGCTATGAAGACAACAGTCTTAGTAAAGGTTTCAACAGACTTGTATATCTTAGTGCTTTTGGCTCTAGAGGTGATACAAAAGTTTGAAAATCATTTCCTCATTCAGAAAGAATTATTTTTTTAAGTTTACCTTTCTTGCAAATAGCTTCAAGATACATCTATTCTTAAGTTTTGCAAAGCACTTTCATGATTTTAATTAAAATACAAAAGATGCATTAAAATCTTCTCATAAACTAGCTTTTCAAATTGAGTTCAAATGTATGGATCTGTTATTTGCAAAGGTTTGGTGTAGTCTTAGTAACTGAGTATACTAGGTAAAATGAAACAATAATTGAAAGTTTCTGGACATTGGAACTGGTATGATTTTGTGGCAAATATCATAAAAGCAATGAAACTGTTTTAAGGTTAGCAGAAATATACTGAAATGGACTGTTTTGTCTGACCCAGTTATATTTAGAAAATCATGCATGTATTAAATCTTCGTGAAGCTTGTCAGGTAAAATAATGGGTCATAATTTATAGCATATACATAAAAGCTATCAGAAAAATACCTAAAAATTTAGCTTATATATACAAGATGAAACAAGATATACCTGCATGAGAGATTGTTGGGTAAGTGGTGATTCTTAGCTAATTTAGAGTTATTGGAGAAAACTTAGATGGTGTGAGACTCCCATCCTGTGATAGATTGTAATGGGTTTATTCGACTCAGATACCCAGGTTTGCAGTGACCAGCCTTCCGGATTTGGGGGAGTAATGGATGTTGTCATTGAGGCTAATGACATGGAATTAAGTTACTCAAGCAATGGGTTCCCACTTCTCCCTTCCCTTGTTGATGAAGACTTGAAAGGTGGTTCACATTATTCATGAATAAGTTAAAATTAAGAATATAATAACTCTAAACATCAGTACTATGTTTCTTGATAACAATGGGAAGATAAGCGGAATCTGAGTTCATCACATCTGAGTTGATCATAGGAAATAGGAAGAAGTAGAGGGAGATATCCCAGCACTTTGATCTACTAATTTCATTTTATCTGCAGATTTCCTTTTAGATTATAGGACTGGAATAGCCATTTTCTATTCCAGACCCAGGATGCTGTCTTGGTACCAGAAAATTTGGAAGTGAGAAATACTCTCCATAATTCTTAACCACATCAGTAAATTGCTAAATAGGAGAAATGCACAGAACCACAATGGAACATCAGATTTGTTCATCATAGTTGCTAAATTTGGAAACTTATCTGTTATATGCATGGAAGCTTCCAATTGCTGAATACATATATATTCTTTGTTGGTTGACTCTGAAATTTAACTAAGCTTTAGTCTTTGGAAGTTTGTGCCCATTCATCCATTTGCAGTTGTCCTTCAGTGTCTGGGGGATTGGTTTCAGGAGTCCCTCACCCCATGGCAGACACCCAAATCTGTGTATGCTCAAGTTCTTCATGTAAAAATGCTACAGAATTTGCATACAATCTATGCACAACCTGATCCACACTTTAAATAATCTCTAGATTGTTATAACGCTTCATACAATGTAAATGTCATGTGAATAATTGTTATTTTGTATTGTTTAGAAATAATGACAAGAAAAAAGTCTACATGTTTAGTGCAGGCGCATTTTTTTTCCCCTGAATGTTTTCCGCCTGCAGTTGGTTGAATCCATGTATGCTGGATCCACATCTATGGATGGAGTGCCAGCTGTCCAGTGAAAAAGTTAAACAATCAGAAATCATTCCCCCTTATGTTTGAAAAACTGAATGCTTTTTACTTTGATTGGAAAATCTTGTTAGAACCAGAGGAAAGAAAGGGAGACACAGAAGAAAAATCAGAAGGTAACCCAGGTTAGAGTTTCAAAATGGTCCAAGTTTGAAACGGGCCCCTGAATCTGAAGTACAAAAGATTTTTTTTTTCACTCAAGAGATTGAATATTTGGCCACAAAACCTCAGACAGTTGAACCTTCATCATAAGCTTTTTCATGTCAGGTACCATCTGTACCTTGATTGAAAGGAAAGAGATCTGTGGGTACCCAGCAATGTCAGCATTGCCATTTTCTACCACTGAGTTATTCACATTGAATGCAGAAAGAACCTGTGGGTGACTTGGTAATGTAGGAATCACCCTTCAAGATAAAAACATCTGTGGGGGTCTCAGAGCCATGGAATTGCTATTTCTTGATTTTTTCCCCCGTTAATAACAACAATAAAAAAGAAAAAACAAAAAATATCTCTTCTTTTTCTCAGGCTACTTTTATTTTCCTCTGAACGAATTCAAAGGGTAGGAGCTGTTGGAATCTAGATCAACCAAGATTTTATTTTAAAGACTTCATAAACATTTGAGTTTTTGCATAAGTTGATTGTGTAGCCAGGGCAGTTTGATTCACTTTTGCTTGAATCAGGAGTTAGAAATCCCTCTTCTGTTTTTTTTTTTTTTTTTTTGCTGCAGAAACTCTCAACAGTCCCATTGGGGCGTTGGGGAGTTGGGGGTCTTCAGAAAGGGGTAAGCAAAACCTTCATTCACAGTGGAATTTTTTCTGATGAATATGTTCTCTTGTATTTGTCACAGAAAAGTGTCTTTATACTGCTTCTTTATTTTGCATCTTTTCTCATTTTCTCTCTCCCTTTTGATTGTTTATGCCACGTGGGGAAAGTCTGCCTTCAGCCCCCTGGGTACTCCATCAGCTGCTCACATTTGTGTTTAAATATCACTGTTTGTAATTGGATGTGATGGTGCCAGAGGGGACATGGCTTTAAAAGGTGCTGTTTGGTGGGAGGAGCCTGGAGACAATCCATCACCATAATAGTTTCTTGGAATGTATCAATGCTCTTGTCTTCCTCTGTTTCTTTCTGCCCCTCCCCCACCCAAGTGTGAAGGTTATCTTTTTCCTGGTTTTTAGTGTTCAGCAAACCCTTTGGTTCTGCACTCTGTCACTTTTCTGAATCTTCTCCTTATAGAGAGCTAAGTTCTCTTCCTACTTCCCCCAGCCAGCAGTGACTTAAGCAGGGTCCCTTTGAAGTCTTGGGAGATTTGCACTTCAGCTGGCTGACTTGGAGCAAGGAGAGAATGTAGCTCCAACTGAATAACTTTTGTCCTGGAGGCTTTCATTCCATAAAAGAAAAATCAAAGAAGGATTAATAATTTTAAACCAAACCACACTTAATTTTGTTAAATGTTTCATCCTTTTCCTATGTGTACACTAAACCAATTACAGACTCAAAGCAAATGAATTGCACATTTTACTGGCGTAATCTTTGGCAGAGAAGCTGCCAGTGACAGAGAATGCCAGGGGATGTGCAAAATCATCTCGCTGCTTTCTTTCTGCTTAAAAATTTACTAGCATTGATATATGCTAACTAAATCCAACTACACTTTGCTATTCAGTCTTCTTCTTTCTTTCTTTCATTCTTTTTTTTTTTTTCATTGAGTATGGAACACTTTCTAGTTTTTTCTTGAAGCTTGATATTTATGTGTCGGAACCAGCCACAGGGGGCTATTTAAGTTAATAAAAAATAAATAAAATAGTACTTCAGTTATTCAGGTGTACTTGCCACATTTCAAGTGCTTGAATACTTCATGTGGCTAATGGCTCCTGTGCTGGAATAACTTAGACCTAGAACTCTTCATCATTGGACAATATGGCTAGAAGTCTCAAGTTGCAACAAAGCTACAATACACTTGTGGTTGTAAAATGTTATCCCTTTTTGTTTGCTTTGAGAATAGTGCAATGCTGTATGTGCATTGGCAGAATGAGGTGCTTTAGAAAGGAGGTTCCCAAATACGATGATGTGAGATGTTGAAAAGAGTAAACTAGGGCTGGGACTGTAGCTCAGTCGCAGAGCACTTGCTTAGCATGTGTGAGGCACTGGGTTCAATCCTTAGCACCACATAAAAATGAAACAAAATAAAACCATGCTATCCATTTACAACTACAAAAAAAAAAAAAAAGAGTAAAGCTAAACATAGCACCCATGGATGTCAGTCCTGTGTGCATCTTCTGGGAGGATACATCAAAGGGAGACAGAACTTTGGAGTTAAGATTGATTATATCCAAATCAGCCTTATCTTTTTACCAGCCTTCAAAAATCATTGGAAATGATGATCACCAGAATAAAAAGCTGAGTAATAGCAACTAATTCTGTGTCAAAGACCTTCCTTTTTTAAGTTGGGAAGTGTGAAGATGGGGTGTGCTAATTTAAATATGCACATATAGTCTTAACTCCTGTGGCCAGTGTTCCAAAAGATCTGAGATTCCCACGTGGTGATATTTTCTAAGCTTTTAAAAGCTTAGTTCTGTCCTGAATGTATTCCTATGCCCTTATATTAAACCCTAGACACATAATAAATTTTAAAATCACTTTTTGATCATTTTATTTTTCATTAGAGCATTATAGTTATGCATAATAGTTGGGTTCATTTTGAGTAAATCATACATGTATGGAATATGATTTCAATCCTGGATCCCCTCAGCCCCTCCTCTCTCCTCCTCTTCTCCTTCCTCTAATCTATTGATCTTCCTTTCACTCATTCATTTTCAGTTGAAATTTTCAACATATACATAAAGATGAAATTTCCTGTGTTRTATTTATATATGCATATAACATGATTTCATTAACTTTATTCCATTTTTCTTTCCCTTCCTTCCTCCCTCCCTCCCTCCCTCTTGCTCTCCTTCTTCTACTCCATTTATGTTCCCTGTATCTTTATGATCTCCCCTCCCACTGCGTTCTTTTCCTTATTTTGCTCTAGTTTCCAAATATGAGCGACAACATTCAACTCCTGAATTTCTGAGTCTGGCTTATTTCACTTAACATGATGTTCTCTGTTTCCATCCACTTATCAGCAAATACCATAATTTCATTCTTCTTTATGGCTGAATAAAACTCCATTGTGAATACATTCCACATTTTCTTATACATTGTTTTATTTTATTCATTTAAAAAGAAATGCTGGATGGAAATACAGGAAAAGAAAGTTGAAGTGAATATTGTCTACCAAATGTGCAACTTCTGTATTTTCTGAAGGCTAACTTTCTATAAATTTCTAGACTGAAAGAGACATTCTGTTATAGTAGCAAGGGAGATACTTAAGTTCTAAATTCTACAAGAAATCAGGCACTGCAAAGGTGAATGTGACCAGATGATCTAATGTCTTATTCAAGGTTCCTAAAAATGAAGGATTATAGCTTTGTTTGTTGAAATTAATTACAATAAGGTTTGGTCCTACATGTTGGTACTAGGCTTTCTTGTTGCTTGAAATTCTCAACTTTTTGCCAGTACATTAAACTTTTCTATATTCTAGTGAGCATGTACACACACACATACACACACACACACACACACGGAAAGCTCCACATCCATCCAGTGAGTTGACTGGTACCTGCAATGCAAGATGGAGATTGTGTTGATGATGCTGTGTCTGGTGATGTCTGTGTAAGGTAGTGTTAGACCAATGCACAAGCCAGGCTTGTTGGTCAGTTACCCAGAAGCAAGAGCAAGGCATGATGGGATGTGAGAGTATCCAGCTCAGTCCATTCCCCTTTCCAGATGGATGAGAAAACAGGTCAGAGAAGCTGAGTGACTTGTCCAAGTCCTACAATTACAATTGGTTGGAGTTAGAGGCTGAAACAGACTTACCTCTGCTATCTCTCTTTTTCTAGGCGCTTCTTTTCAGTCAAGCTACATTTCTTTAAGGTTTTAAAAATGGTGCTATAAAGGCCACTGGTTCCCTAGCAAATGTCTCTCAGGCTGGTGCTGGGTAAAGGTGATGTTTTAGAATCCTTTCCCTTTTCATTGGTATTACCTTGATATAAGAATTCAACTAGACCTCTCTGTGGTCATTTCTGCTCTTCTGTGTGTAAATCTTTGCCACTGTGACTATTAACATAAAAAGGATGGATTGACTTCTGACTGTGGGAAATAAATCACCCCAACTTTTGACAGCAGAGTTAGAAAAAAAAAGAAAAGATTAATTGGTTTTATTTAGTGGCTTATTGTTTATAGTGATAGCTATTAAAAATAGATAACCAGAGGCTAATAAATGTTAATGGTTCTTTCACTATTAGAAAAAATCAATTGTCAGTAGACATAGCATATATTAATATATTATTTTCTTTATAATCTTCAGTAGCATTTAAAAGAATTTATCCCTGAGAGAATTATTTTTTGAGGAATTCTTTTAAGGTTAGCATCTACTACCAAGAGCAGTTTTGACAGGACATTTTTATCTGCATATAATTTTAATGGCTTTCAAAGCATCATTTTATAATTGTAATAAAATGCATGTGTAATTTGTCAAGATTGATAAACTCCTTACCAAGGACTCTTATATATTTCTTTGAAACTTGTTTGAGAGCAGTTAGATAGATTTCTAAATGTAAGTAATTAAAATTGTATAGTATTGAGTTATTGACCAATCCTGGACTATTAATCAAGCTAAAAAATTCTACAATCAGTGTTCAGTGTGCTGAAGCCGGGTAAAATAATAGTATTTGTGTTCAGTGAGGCAAGTAGCCACAATTAAGCACTTCACTTGACAAATGAGAGGGTACACTTTATTTTGCACTTAATTGAACTGTTGTACATGCTCGGTCACCATTGTCTCCTAGTCCTTCATTTTGGTTTCTGATCATTGGGGTTTATGCATTTGCTAAAGGTAGAGCAATTATGTCTGCTTTTGCTATTGGCTTTCTAAATGTAGCCAGAAATGTCTGCGCCACAAACCAGGGCTTAGTGAGCTGTTACTATCCCTCATGACAAATTAATTTTCTGAACAAAAATTTTGATAAACAAATTAGAGACCTGTCAAGGAATGATATGAAATAGCTTCCAACAGGGAAAACTCCTCAGGTTTTATATCACTCACCAGATTCTGCTTAAGTAAGCAGAAGAACTTCTGTGGAGAAGACAGAATTTTAATCTATTTTATGAAAACCAAAAATTGATTTACTTCTCATGAGCTGGAAAGAATGTGCTCTGATAATCTTGCTAATTATCAGGTATTTGTCACAACTTCCTTCCATTTGCTTTTGCATCACAGTCATCTTTCTGCAAGCATAGTGACATCCTGTCATTTCTCTGCTGCTATAAATCATTCCTTGTGACCAGATTAAACTAGGGAGCCAAGGTTCAAGAAAAAGACTCAATGGATAAATATTTGGAAGGGGGCTAGGAGGTCGAAGTCAGGATTTCTTTTACAAAGAGACGCATCTGGATGCTACACATCTATGTTCACCTGTGCGATACCAGCACTTGTACTATACCTAGATTCCAAGATAGGTTAGTATTTATTAAAATGCGTGTGCAACTTGCCCACTTGCCCACATGTTTACTTGGCACTTAGAATAAGATCCAAACCCTAGAATGATCTTGGCATCAATTGCTTATGTCCTTCGAGGACAGTTTATTTTCAGTTTTCTGAATTGATGGAGATAATAACAGCCACATTCCCTATCCTAGAGGGTTATTGTAAAGATGAAACTAGATAATTGATTTGATTTAAAAGCATTTGGAAAAGTTAAGAATGCCAGGGGAGCATGAGAGACATTACAGATTTTTCTCTTGTAATGTTTGGTTTAATGAAGCTTGTGTTTTTAAGGCTTACAAAGATACACTAATATTTGCCTGCAGGGAGATAAAGACAAGAAAGTAGAGGATTTTGAAATGGTATGATTAATACTGGAAGGAAATATTCATTTGGGAATTCATGTGTCTCAACAGCTCTGTGAATTTTGTTCCTGTGGCAACAAGTGAAGTAGTGAGGACGCAGAGGCCAAAACTCTGTGTTCTGTCTTAAAAAAAGTATGAAATACCACCAAAAAGCTTTGGGTCCTTGTTTCATAATGCTGATTCCTGCTGACCAACAAGGAAAATAATGACCAGGCAGTGTCTTTATTTGTTTCAGACCCTATCAATGTGGCCACTGCTCCCAGTCCTTTTCCCAGCCTTCTGAACTGAGGAACCACGTGGTCACTCACTCCAGTGACCGGCCTTTCAAGTGCGGCTACTGTGGCCGTGCCTTTGCTGGAGCCACCACCCTCAACAACCATATCCGAACCCACACTGGAGAAAAACCCTTCAAGTAAGTAATGGCTTGGTCCTCCTCCTCTCAGCCTTTCTTGAGAGCTGGCAGATGCGTTGGCACAGCACTGCCCAGCTCAGCAAGAAGAAGGCTATTTGGAAGGTCAATGTCCAGACTGCATAAAATCTCCTTGGACAGTGGCTGACCTTTGGAAAACAAAGTCACAAGCCTCCATATTGGTTCTGGCTCAATTTTTGTTACCTTATATTTAAGGTGATCTTTCTGTGTATGTCTTGTCATCAGTAAAATAAGGAGGTTTGAATAAGTAATTTGAATATTTCCAGTTTCTGAGGATCTGTGTGTCTAAACTTTATTCAGGAGCCACATAGCACTCATGGCCATCAGTAAACCCTATAACCGTAAGGGTGGCCCTATATTTAGGATATCTGAGTAATTCTCTCTTGGAGAACATGAACACTTTAGGATTCTGATGAACCGTTTCCTCCTCTTTGTCATGTGTTAAGGAATTTGATTCTATTATAGTAGCCAAAAACTGTGACTTAAAGCTCAAAAATATCATGTTGGTGAAAAACTAAACAATAAAAGCAGACCAAGCACAGGGCATGTTGACTTTTTGAAGATTCAAAGAGTTTTTGAGGGAACATCAAAAGAGGTAAAACAAAATTCTAAGGGCTTTGGCAAAGTCAGGGCAATTAAATAAGATGATGTGTTCAAAATATAACCCAGTCATCAAAACAGTGGGCATCTGAATCATGCCATGGGACCTATTCCTTCATTCATCCATTCATTCATTTATTCATTCACTCATTCAAATATGTATATTTATTCATTCAACAAATATTTATTGAGCACCTACTTTTGTACTGGGTGTCTAGCTAGGGACAAGAGATACAAAGGTAAATGAGTCTCAACTCCCACCCTAACTTTGAAGACCTCGTGCTCTAAGAGGAAGCCCAATTAATCAACAAACACAGGGTGAAATGTGCAGCGATAAAACATGTATGTATAATGTTTGAAACTAGCAAAGAAATGGAATAGCTAATGCTATAGGGAGACGATGCTTCAGATGTATTTTTAAGGATGAGTAGGAGCTTATCAGACATAAAGGGGAGAGAGGTATTTCTGTTAGCTCAAATGGCATGTAGAAAGGCTTGGGAGAATGAACCTGCACACATGGCTGGTTGGTGGTCTCAAAGCAATTTTAACTGTCTCTTCAATGAACTGTTTTCCTTCAACCCTCTTACATCTCTCTCTACTCATTTGCCATTCTGGCTTCCAATTTTGAGAAAGAAAATTAAAAGTGCATAGATGTGCAGCCTTATTTGCCTTCTGTAGGACAAGCTCAAGTAAGAGTGGAAACAATCCAGTCCATAGGAGACAGCCCCTTTGCGCATTCTCAACCACATCTTCCTAGAGTCTTGTAACCCATGATTTTCCCGCTGAATCTGCTGTTTGGACTTGTTGTTGTGCTCACACTGATAGGCAGAGCTTAGAGTAGCAAGTACTGCAGGTCTGGGTCCTCCCTGCCTCAGTGGTCTTCCAGTGAAAGAAGGACCTCCGAAGAGCCTGTCACCTTTGGTCACCTCCCCAAGAATTAAGTCACCTCAATTTGTCATTCTTAACTATTTTTTATTGATTTAATTGATATTAATAATAAAATAATAATAATCTTGATAATTTTTGTCTATGTACATAGGCCTTGCTTGCTCATGGACTAAGGGCAGGATGGGGCCTAGACTTGGGCTTGAAGTATGGCAACCCTTCTCTAATCACCCTGAGGCACCAAAGGCTCATCCCAGGTGCCGGAGTTCCTTCTCACTGATGTTTGTGTCCTGCCTGGTGGACTCTGCCATCACCCTGAGGCCTGATGCCCAGGGGCTTCACAGATTCTGGATTCAGTACCCTCCTGGAGGTGGAAAGTGACAAGGACACATTTCTTGTGCCTTTGAGCAAGAGAGCTTTTCAAAAACAGAGGTGCAGGAGATCCAAGAATCTTTCTGGTCCCTCATATTAGACAGGCAGTCAGACAGACACAGAGCCAGGAATCAGATTGATTTTTATCTTGTTGCTGTGTAAATAGATTTTAGTAATTAATTGAAGAGGTTCCAGGGTCAAAATGGGAAATAGATTTCTATTAATGTTAAGGTGTTACTTATGTGTAATCTTGTTGACTCCACTCAGTTTTTTTTCTTTAACATCCTGTTTTTGTCATGTTTCCAATAGAGTTGCCATCTTAACTTAATTTTCATTCATTGAATTAATATTTGAAAGGATTTAGCAATTACATCTTTTCCTCTTTCCAACAGTATTGTTTGTGCTAATTTCATCTGGCAAAAAGAAAAAAAACAAGGAAATAATCAGGGTTGTTGGATACCATTCAATATACATATTATAGTTCCTTCTGTTCCCACTCTTATCAAGATAGCCACAGGCCATAATTTTTTTTTGGGGGGGGGGATTTTACTTTATCAAATATATATTTCCACATAAGAGCTGAGTGTATGCTTATTTGGAAAGTGCAAGGTTTAAACATCTTCTAGGAAATGGAAAGCTAAATCCTTTAGTATATACAACCAGGTCTTTCAGAATTGAACTATCCTAAGGGAGTTTTGGGAATCTTCCAACTACAGCCCATGGATATCCAACCCCTGGACATTTGTAAATATTATGAAGATATCCTTTTACAAGCTTATAAAACAAACATTCAAAAAAACTTTTGTTGCATACTAGTCAATAAAAAGGGTTTCATCAGGATGGTTAATTTTACTACTTCAGCTAATGGGTATTGGCTTAAACAATGTTGAAGAAAAGAAGAATCTTGTAAAGATACACAACCCTAAACCCTATGCCCGGAGCAGCTTCCAACTAGATGACCCAAATGGCTCAGTCCCCAAATTGTACCACCCACCCTGGACTCAGGGGCCTTTGCCAAGTCTGAGCCTTCCACATCAGAAGAAAGCCATTTCCAAGTTCTAAAATCTGAGCAGTGAGTTTTGGAAACAGTTCAAGATCACTGGCATCCAAAGAAGGCTGGAGAAGATTTGGCATTAAGAGGTCAGAATTCATTCCAGGCTTCTTACAACCTGCATAGTTGAAATCCCATTGAAAGAATCTATCTCCTGAGTTAGAGGTAGATCACAGGACTACTGACAGCTAACCTAGGCTGTAGACTTAGAATTCTGACATATAAGAGCACATAGGAAAATGAAAAAAAATCAAAGATCATATTGAAGGTTTTGGCTTTCAGTTTGTTCTGTGAGACTGGAACTTGTGGAGAACGAGGAGCAAAAAAGAAGACATCATTTCATTTAACAGCAATAGCCAAGTACTTTATTGCAGGAAAGAAGAAAGGGAGGGAGGTAAGTTGGCAGTCTGAAAATCTTCTTTATAGTGAGGACCCTTTCTTCCTAAACACAGAGTCTCAAGATTTCAGGTGGGCTGGTCAGCTCCACTCTTCTTTGCCTGGGAGAACCCAATTGAGCTGCCTGATGCCTGCCTGGCTTCTGAGCCTGGAAAGCTGCACAAGCAGCCAAGGACTGTCCACAGAGGGGTTCTTCATCCTTGTTAGAAGCGAGTGGAAATAATCCCCACTATATTTTGCCTCAAATAAAACAGTTTGGCTGAGTACAAAGAAAAATCAAAGGAAATTCCAAAGGATGCCTAACAGTTGAACAAGATCGAGACGAAATCCAAGCAAATCAGTAAATATGCATTGAGCACACCACACATATGTGCAGTTTGGTCCAATTCAAGAAGTATTTTGTGACATATTGCAGATGCACAGAAATCTTCTTGCATGTTTTCTGTGTAACAGAACTTTATATCATCTGTTAAGCTCCCAGTACATATAATCCAATCAACCAGCACAATTGAGTGAAGGAGAATCTCAAATTGAAAAGGAAATCAAGTCTAAGACTCCCATGCCAGCAGGAAGTTGGGTACTTTCTTTTTGCTGAAATACTTGCAAGACTTTCCACTTGTGTGTTCCTTCAAGGCTGCAAAATCAGCACCCATGCCAAGTGAAGGCACAATAAGGAAGACCCTGTGTGCAAGAGCGTTTCTCTCCTCTGGGCTTATCCTCTGTGTCTGTCTGTCTTTTTTCTTTATCCTGCTACATTCCATGAAGTCCAGGTTTACAAATGCAGGAACCCCATCCCTTGCATGAGATTGTAATTCAGGGGTAATGAATGCCAACTCACCTATAATCTGGCTCTGACTTCCCAGAAGCAAGGTATTTTTATATCTAGCTGTCTTTAATTCCTCAAATATACAAATTATATTATAGTTCTCAATCCACATAGGTATTATTTCTAGTAGTCCACTTTGCTTAAGAAGAGGAAACCACTGAGAAAAGGATCTAAATTCAGGTAGTTTCAACACATCTGCATGTATTTTCTCTCATACTTGGTAGGAAGATTGTACTAGAGATGATCTTTTAGGAATCATCTTTGCAAGCACACTACAGATCAAAAAAGATTTCCTATTCCAACAAATTGCTCCATGCATGTAAGTCTCTGTGAGACATTCAGATAAACATTTGAGAAAAGTATAACTCTGTCCTTAATGTCTCCATTGTTGTAAGCATTTAAATGTCACACACACTTTTGCCTTATTTGAAGCACTAAGCTTCCCATTTGTGAAGTCTTCATATTTTCATACACAACATTAGGGGGGCAGAAGCATAGCTAGGTAAAGTGTCATTCCTCACAATTGTTCAAACTCTTTTGCTCTCTTTGAAATTGATCCTAGAGCTTCAAAATAAAAAAAAAAAGGAATATAATAATTTGAAAGTTTGTCAGGTAGTTGAAAGGTAGTATATTTTGACACACTAATCTAGTAACTAATCAGTTTTCTAATAAACAATCAGTGGTTGCTAACATGTCATCAGCACTCCAGGAGCTCTGGAGAGGGGATGAGCTGCCCGCGGACGTTAATGAATACACCCAAAATCATTAGGTGATCAATACTTCTGAGTTATTTTCATTGAGCTGATAGGTCTGATACATTAAAGCTGACATTATACATTTGTCAAGATCACAGTGCAGTTTTTAACAGTGGAACAGGCTGCTAAAAATATTCCCCGAAAGACAATCAAAGAAACACAACTTCTTCACCCTGACACACTCAGCTGGCACACGAGTCTGGAAAATCCAAGTAAATGCTGAAGCCCCAGCCTCCCAGCATTTACAGACATGCCAGAACTCCACACCGGATGGGCATGGTTTATTTCTATAGGAGATGATTTTTGTGGCAGGACACTTTCTATGATTTACTAGTAAAAAGGAAAGGGGGAATGCAGCCCACAGGATGAGACATGTGGCTTCCTGATCTGTGATAGGGCAGAGGGACTTCCTTGTGGAGGCTTTTGCCACAGCTCCAATAGCATAGAGACCTAAGAACTGGAGATTGTGATCTATAACTGTCTGCAGCTCCTCTTGAATATTTTTTCCTTCAGAGGTTTGAGGAGAGGACATTAGTGGGATGACTGAGGTGGCCGCTAGGCCCTGGCAGGGGCTGTGCCAGTGCTCTGGGCAGACCAGATGTTTAAGGTGGTGATGGGGAAGTTGCTGTGCCCAGCTTGCTGCCACATTTCAGTTGCAAGGGGTGTGTGTACACATCGTCACAATCAGCCAGGAACAGCAGCCATAGAAACACTGGAGCCTCTATCAGGTTGCGTGTGTGTGTGTGTGTGTGTGTGTGTGTGTGTGTGTGTGTTGTTTTCTATAGATCAAGTAGCCATTGAACTAGTAAGTGAGGCTTGTATGGGAGATGGAAATGCACCCAGAGTCTCCAAATTACAACCTCTTTCTTTCTTTTTTTATAAGTTAAGAAGAGGAGATATTGTTGAAGTATGAAGCCAGTTTGCTCTTCTTGGACATACGGGCCTCTAATTGTGGCCCACATGTACACTATTTTTACTGTATTTTCAGTGGGGTTGAATCATTTACATCACTCAAATAACCCTTGATTCCCATTTTTTATAAGTCTTCCCACCACCACCATAAACCCTCATTTTGTAAAGTGTCCTAATCCTAAATTTGGGTTAGGCTATAACACTAAAACCAGCTTTTGAAAAAAAAAAATCAGCCTCCTCACCCGGTACCTGTTAGTCAACGGCAAACTAATGTATTGCTTCCACTAGTTTCCAAATTCTGAGATGATCGTTCTTTGGCTGTTGTGCTGAGGGGAGTAGAATTCTGGGTTTTAAATTAGCAGCAGGTGAAATTCTATTTGTCATCAATTTCTCTTTGGGGTTACGGAGCAGAAAACTGCAGACAAGCTGCTGCTTTGATGGCTCACTCCTAAAAATCTCTTTTTGTTCTTTATCTATTTGAACTGACAGTGATCAGAGCTGCAGCAGGACAGGGCTCTCTGGAGAAATCACCTTCCCCCTGCCTATTGACAGATCCCTCTGTTCTGCATCAGACGGGCTTTGTCCCATCCCAGGCATCCAGGCCTTGGAAGGAGCCACCAATTAAACCTCTTGAGCCGGTAAAATCTGAAGCCACTTTGGAGTGTCTGTTCCAATTAGGCAGGATGAGAGGAAGCCCATCACCCTGCAGGCCCCGCTCCCTGGTCTCAATTTTCTCTCTTGCCTCCACCAGGTGCGAGAGGTGTGAGAGGAGCTTCACGCAGGCCACCCAGCTGAGCCGACACCAGCGGATGCCCAATGAGTGCAAGCCAATAACGGAGAGCCCAGAATCAATCGAAGTGGATTAACTGATTGACTGGTTGGAATTAAACTGCAAGGAAAGTCATGATTAAATGTCACGGACACTTAAGCAAAACCAAAGATTTCCTCTGAGCAACTTTCAATCAGTCCCAGAAAACCAAAAGCAGTAATAAAATAAGTAAGATGTTAAGAGATATTGATCCTGGCGTGGAAGTCAGACCAGGAAAGAGATTATTTATTTATGACTAGGGATGAGACTGATTTCAGTGGACAACTAACCTGGGATGGCTAACATTTCCAGTCCCACCATGTATTTGCTTTGTTTCTAAAAAAGCTTTTTTTAAATTGTTATTTAATACCAAAGGGAGGAATCGAAGGGGTTCTTCTGGCCATGGTTGTGACTAAGAATGCACAGGGACTTGGTTCTCGTTGCACCTTTATTCCAATAGCATGTTCAAGACCCATTGTGCAGCCATTCTTCCTGCTGTTTTGGTTTGGCCTGGCCCGATGCTGGCTGCCCCAGCAGGGACCCTGGAAGCAGAAGCGAGACCCTTGCTAAGGCAGCACCATCTGCAGCGCCAGCGCAGCCGTCTCCGTATTCTCATTCTCGTGCACTTTCATGCGGCTCCTTCCATCCAACAGCCTGGTCCTGATGCAGGAAAGCCTGGGACAGGAAGAAAATGGTTTCAGTTTCAAAATTCAGAGGAGAAAGTGGGGGACTGACTTTGTCCTGTCAGGATTTCAAAAAACATTTAAAATGTTTGGAGCTTCATAATACAGTACATTGTTCCGAAGCAGCTAGTTGAGAAAATTTTGTTTTCAATAACATTTTAGCTTAAAAAAGAAAATGGAAATAAAGTTCTTCGGTCTGAGGCTGAGTATAAGGTATTAGGCTTCAAGTAATTTTTCTTTTGTTCCTTCTTTGCAATGGATGAATATGTGAACAAACATGGTGCTGCGCTCACGGTCAATAGCTCCAGTTCAGGCACCTTCATCTTCCTTTCTTACACAGGTGAAGCCCAAGAGGCCCCCTTTCCACAGTCCAGAGTATGGCAGGAGCATTTCTGCAAAAATGGGTGAAAATAGGTCAGACAAGGAAACATTGAGAGGAGCCACCGAGGGGGTTGTGGTTAGACCAGAAAGCAGCTAATTTTATCAACAGGAATTACCTTTCCTCTCTCCAGATAGATTCATCAAAAGGGAAAGGAGTATCACACAATTTCACTGCTCTTTGAGTGCCTGGAAAGTGAGTTGAACTTCAGCTAGCCTTTTGGTGTTTCACCAATGGTGCTCAATAAAATTGGATCACATTCCATGAAACAGTGCCATGTCAGGAAGAAATGAATGTCTCCTGCAGCGCTTGGTCCATTAGCTCCCAGCAGCAACTCAGAGGCTGCATCTACCTCCATGGCCAGTGTAGAGAGAGCTGAACAGTATATTTAGAGTACTTAAAAACATCTTCTGTTTGTATATTTCTTGGTCACCCATTAACAAGGCACAGCCTTTTAAGGAACTCCTTGTCTTTGAACTCTCTCTTGTCTTCCCTCAAAAAAAAAAAAAAAAAAGGAACTCACTACTGAATGGCAGGAATACTGTGTGGTTCGGTTTAATCTGTCACTGTGTATTTGGTTCTCTGACAATCTTTTTTTTCTCTTTTAATTTTTCTTCTCTGTCCCATAGAACCCAACAGCCACATTTAAAATGGGATAAAATAGGGCCTCGTTCACCATGTTGGTAGTTAGAATCATCTCTAGGATTGTGGGCCACACTAAAAGAAACTTGGCTAATTCTGATCTCTCTTGCCTGATCTTGAACCATTCACCTAGAATTTCCTCCCAGTGCTTGTTGTCTCCCGGTTCTGGAAATAGTAAGCAATCTGTACTACTATGCAACTATTACTGACTGGAAGTCTTCTCTTCAGTAGATAGAGACTTTACATTCCCTGCCTAAAGTCATGATGACATTTGCCTGCAATGTCTGTCACTGGAAAGGGTTAATAAATTGTAGCCACATTTACCTGAAACCTGCAAAAAAAAAAAAAAATGATGGGTCAGCTATGTAGATTAGCTAACTGTTCCATTGTATCAAGGCTGGACCATTTGGCTGAACTTTTTTGAAAATGATAAGAAGGGACTCTGTGATTCTAATATTTTTTTAATGAGAAAAATCAGTTCATCCATTGCTCCATTTCCTAATCGAACACAAAGCATTTCACTCAGGTGTCATGGGCTGCACCTGCAGGAATGAGACATCGCCTTCCTTGATATCTGGCATGGGAAGATTTTCCATAGCTATGAGCTCTGCCACTCTAATGGCTTTGCTAGCTGGTCTCAAACTCCCACCAAATGTGGCAGTAACCTCTACCAAAAGATTCTTCTAGTGTTCTCCATTCAAGTCTATTTTTTCTCCTCTATTATTAAGAAAAAAAATTCTTATGTATTCAACCAAATTTGGTAAGAAAACATTCTACAAACAAAATTGGATACTGTAATTTTCCACACATTTGGGGACATTCATGGTTTTCACATTTCTGAGCCATTGCTAGCTTCCAGCAGACTGCCCAGGCCGTCTGTCCGTAACACAGACCTGTACCTGCAAAGTGGCTTGGAGCCCTAGAGCAGGTTCTGACATCATTTGGATCCCAAAAGTTTTAATCAATATGGATACTGGGAAGCAGATTTCTCCTTGAAACTTCCCAACAACAGAAAGGCTTCAACTGTTTCTATTTAAAATATACACATAATCCCTTGGGACATAGTAAATGGGTGGTAGAAACTACAGTTGTGAAGATTTGCCCATTTTCCTCATTAGCAACTTCCTACCTTATAATGGCATAAAGAGAGTAAAAGCTCTGTGTCATGGAGTGAACAGGATATCTAAGATGAGGAAGGTGAACTGTCAGAACTGAATCAGGGTTTGGCTTTTTGTTTTTTAACTGGGGATTGAACTCAGGAGCACTTTACCATCGAGCTACATTCCCAGCCCTTTTTATTTTGAGACAGAGTCTCACTAAGTCGCTTAGGATCTCATTAAGTTGCTGAGGCTGGCCTTGAAATTGTGATCCTCCTGCCTCAGCACCCCTCCAGTCATTGGGGTTACCGGTATGTGCTGGGTTTATAGGTTGGCTCTTGAAGCAATCTTTCTTTACCCTTTTTGATCAATGGGGCAGATTTTTATTTTCTCCTTTAGAATAAAACTTTCCATTCTAGTATGAACTCATTGGTTCAGCTAAGAGTCTAAGCCTAAGGGTAATGCCAGGTAAAAGACATAGTGTGGGGGAAGGAGAGGTGAAGCTACAGACCATCACATTTCTAGAAAAATCTCAGTAACCTAAAGAATATTTAAATACTTTTCCCAAGAAGTGTTTTTTTTCCAGATAAGCTTTTCTTTTGGATTTTGTTTTTATTTTTAAAATTACTTTTTTCAAGGCAGATATTTTTTATAAAGTTACTGTGTGGGTAATTAAAGCTGTAGGGTTTACTCTTGTGAAATTTATGTAATTTGGTTCAATTAGTAAATTTGTATTGGGTACTCATTCACATGTACCTTGTTGAGAAATGACATCTAAAAGAAAAGATTATGATACACTGTGTCTCACAGGGATTACAATTTCTTGGGTTGTACCTTGGAAAAACTTCATTCTTAACCACATATACAAATGGTTATAGACATTTACCAACTCATTAGTTTTTTCATCAATTGATTGGCTCATTGTTTCATTCATTTATTCCACATATATTTACTGAGCTCTTGATTTGTATCAACACCCCATTGTAGTTGTTCACTGTAAGTAACATTATTTAAGTAATTATTGGTGAGGAAATAATATTCTCCTAAGTGACCAGCTAATAGCCTGAGTAATTCCCTTGGACTATTGTCTCAGTGTAATTACAGAGGTTTCTGCAACTGAGAGAATCTGACAGATTAAAAACTCAGCCAGGGACCTGAAAATAGTATGTTTGAAAACCAATTCAGAGGCACAGCTTGGTTGTCTTTGGTTAGCCCACCAGGCTATTGGTTCTTAACAATATCAAGAAATCCGACTAGGGCTGAAGTCCTAGGTTTTTACAGTGATTCCAGTGATAAGACCATAAATGGGAACAGGGCTAGAGTTGCTCAGGGAAGAAAATCCACAGATCCTGAATGAGTCTGAGGTATCTCCTTTGTGACAAGCCCAGCCAATGTAGCTCTTGGCCCCAGTGTGTGGCTCTGGTATTCCTAGAGGTGGGGACTCCTGGTGTCTGCTTCAGAATGTTCCTCACCTGTACTCAGGTGCTTCTGAGAGCACTATCTTCATCAGTGGCTTACAGATAGTGGTTGCTTGGTTAAATTTAGTATTTTAATCTCACCATCAAACTCCTTAGACATCTAAATTGGAGGATCTTCCTCTTCAGTAGTCCCATCCTCTGAGGCTCTGGATCTTTGGGGTACACCATTGCCAAACTGATCGCTTGTAACTGGTTATTAGAGTTGTTGGAGTAAGAAACTAATATTCAATTGGTTTTCAGAGTAAAAGTAACATTATTACTATATTTGTTTTGCACCAATTTAAGAAAATAAAATGCAAGTGTCAATTGAGTTGTATAAAATGGAAAACATGATACATCTCACAAAGCAGAGCATGTCCAGAGCAATGTGGAGCCAGTGGTCACTCTGAGCATCCACCCCAGCATTCAAGAGCAAATTCATTGCTCTCCTCTGAAGGCTACACATGCCTGAAGAAACTAGTCCAAAAGAAACAAATGAAGTCCTGCATGTGAATTTAATTTTATTTCCACTGTGCTAATTTCTGACATTAAATCTGGAACAACTCTAAGGGATATGCATCTTTAAGTGATAACAGTAGATTCTAGAAATATCATTCCTTTGTCAGGATCCTTTTGAGGTAGATAACTTTGGAAACACTTTGTGAAGTGAATAGGTGTTTGGGTACATATCACCCAGTGTTTGAAATTTTCTCATTGCTAGTATTTATCTGAACTGCCAAAAGATAACAACAGAGCCCTGGGAAAAGCACATATTTCAGCCCTCCTCCAAATTAAATTCTACAAACCCAAAGTTCAGCTGCCAGGTAGAACTGACAGAGTCAAATAGAAAAGAATATTGTTGTATTTCTGGAAGCATTGCCACAGATGCTTAGCCTATGATCCAGGGTTGGGTAAACATTTAAAAATTCTGTTTCCTCTTTTAAGTAATAATGGCAGATGCTTCATCAAATCAATATGTAAAATGTCAAAAACCAAAAATATATCAGAAAACAGGGTGAAGGCCCCAAACTATGCATTGTCTTCCCTGAATACTGAAGATACTACCTTTGTAGTTAGAAAAGAATCTGTTGAGTGACTTTTAATGGAAAAATAAGGAAACTCTGAGTTTATTCGCTCAAATGTTGATGGAGGTGGTGATAATGATCGTAACTTACCTTATGCAATTACTGTCAGGCACTGTTCTAACTGCTTCACATGGATTATCTAACTTAATCCTCAATTATTCTGTAACAAAGGTAACATCATCGTCTCGTTCTCATACATACTTAACCATATGATCTCAAGCAGCATCCCCCTCCAAAACCATTTAATATCTAAAAGAGAAAAATGCTTCCTTTTGCAAACCTGCTTTGTGAGAACAAGAACTTTTTGAAATTAACAAAGTATAATTTACTTACAAAATATGTTTGTGAAAATGATGCCAGAATTATCAAACTATGCATCATTGTCGTGGCTGATTCTGTAATCTCCGGTTCTATGTTGCTGGGCAGCAGAATTTCAAACATCTCATAGCTGGCAGGCACTTTTTGTTTTTCTAAATACGCAACTAAAAATTCCACATTAAAAAA